CAGCAGGGAAACTGCTACCGTCAACCAGGTTAGACAATCACAGCAGGGAAACTGCTACCGTCAACCAGGTGAGACAATCACAGCAGTTTCCCTGCTGTGATTGTCTCACCTGGTTGACGGTCGCTCGTGTTGCGATCGAAACGTCGTCATCTATTATTTTCTACCTACGTGACTTCTACGTTGTCATGTGCCGACCAGAGAATTAAGCGAGCACTTTAAACACGAAACACACAAATCCACAGCGATAAATCGTTGTGTAAACACGACGAAGGAGGGTTTTTTTGGGGGAACATTTTTTTTTGAACGACAGCGCGAAATAATGCGAGCTTCTGTCACGGATGGGAGGGGGGGGGGGGACGAGCTGGTTTTAAAAAAAAAAATCGCTCACAATCCAGCAAGACAGGGAGCGCGTGACCGGGGGAAAAGCCCAAGGCGTTAAATCAGAACATTTACTTATACTGGAGGAATCCGATGAGCTGTAAAACTCTCTTTCACAGATGTCCAATAGTAGCGAGTAAAAACGTTACAACAACACCAACAAAACAATACAAAAACACGGTAGTAGTGCAAAGTATAAGAAAGGTAAACAAATCACCCAAAAGCATACAAATACAACACACTAAACCATCACCATCCTACCAGGAAAACCTCACTGAAGTAACAACTTACTTTTCAGCAGCGACCTGGCTACCCACAAATGACAGCTCAACAAAGTGGACCCATCGTTTGGACACTGATAGCACCGAAATAATCTCAAGGCATGTTTCCAAATGTAGAGGAGGGAAAAAGCGGAGGAGCCACCACCGCCGGCCGTGCCTTCGCCGCTAAAGCTTACACACCGCTCTCGGACGAGGCACACGCACACACGCACACACGCGCACACGCACACACGCACACACGCACACACGCACACACACGCGCACACGCACACCCTTCTCAAAGCAAAGACGGCAACACGTTGCGCCACGCAGAGCGAGCACCACACAGAACAAATCGTTAAAATGACAGCCTTCACCTTTCAAAGCTGAATTTTTTTTTTTACGTCTGCGCTAATCATCTCGTAATACCAACCCGCCCCCTGCAAATAATGTTTCAGTTTTCGTTTAAAAAAAAAAAAGGCAGAACAGTTTGGACTGCGGTTTGCAATTTACCACACTTTAGCCAAACATATGGATTACAGGCCGACGGACAAAACAAAATATGTACTTTGTGCTTTATTAAAGCAATAACCTGTCAATCAGCTGACATACACCGCTGCTCTGCTTTGCCTTGGGCAAACAGCTTATGGAGTACAAGCATCTGTCTGCACTGATAAATCCATATCTATTTTTTTTCATAGCAGTGGCCAGGAAACCGGAGCTAAAACATAGATCAACGGTGGCTCGGCAGTAAATTTAACCCCTTCCGTGCCCGGCTCTCCCTCCACTCCCACAGCACCCCCCCCCGCCAGCACCCCCCCCCCCTCCCCCATCCCTGCCTGCCCGAGTACCAAAGACAATTCTCCCACGGGAGACCCCAGGCCGGAGAACGGCATCAAATTTTCACACCACGAGGACATCGTTTGGTGAGGAATGCGTGTCCTTCACGCTGCAGGTGCGAGAGTGAAGCCGTGCCCCCGTCATTGATCGTCGTCGCTGAGTGAACGATGTTTCGAGCAAAGCGCTGGCTGGCTCGCGTCAAACTCTTATTTCGACTACGGTGAAAGTCCGTCACACTTTAATAAACTAACGGTTGTTTTTTATCTGTGGGGGGCCCCCTTTTTGCCAGTATTAAAAATTATGGAAAAATAAGAGGAGGTTTTACACTTTATGGCAATAAAACAGGTGTTAAGACGTTCAAACACCAAATAGATACTTTTTTTTTCCAATAGTTTTGTTTCTTTTTGATTTAAAGCTTTCGTGACTGCAGTGATTCATATTCTTGGTTCTTTCGGTAAAGTCGCGTTGAAGGGAAACAATAAAATAATAAAATATATAAAAAAAACAATAAAATTCTCACGACGTTTCGACTGCAACACAAGCAGTCATCATTAGGTGTGAAAACCAACGGCAAATTTTACATGTCAGCGATTGGGGCTGGACACGTCGCCGGAAAGAATGATGGCCACAGCCAAATGGAGGGAATTCTCCCAACTGCAGAGTTGGAACGATGAATATCGGCTCGTGTGCGGGAGCTAGATGGTTTGTTGCGTCATTGTTACGATAGTCAGAAATGGCAATGGCTTAAGAGGGAGACCTTCATCCAGCAGTGGAGAAATCTATAACTGATCATGAAGGATTATTTGATTGCTTTTAAATGTTTATCGGTGTTTGTGCTGGAGCGGACGTATCACGGGAGGCTCGTTTTTGTGACCCCAGACAAAAAGCAACCGCATCTCATTTTAATTCATCGTGATAATGCATTAATCCTCACGTGCGATTTGGCGCAAGCATCACGAGCCTTGATAATCGCCCTTAAAATCGACGACTCGGGACGCAGCGTTACCGCGACCTGACTTCCCCACCGATAAAGATTTTCATTTTTTTATTAAGAAAAAAAAGTGCAATCTGCTCTTCGGGGCAGGGTTATAAGTTGGAGGGCGAAGCGTGGAAAGGGGGAAACCCGGGAGGTCAGGTCGGGAGGTGGAGGGGCTGGGAAGAAGGTGGCGGGGACGTGGTGCGGGAGAAAAAAAAAAGAGAGAAACAGAAATCGGATGCACCGAGGCGCGCGGCGTGTTTACCGCGCCGGGCGGCCATATCGATTTCTGGAGCTGGACCGGCGCTGGGCCACGCGATCGATAGCGCTAACACCGACGGGATCCTTCATAAATAGAGCGGAGGCGGCAATCCGGTCCGGAGTCACAGCCCGGGGTTTTAACCATCGCGGGTGCGCGCGTGCGCGACTGCCCTCTCGTCCCAAAAGATGCATGTACGTCGAACTTCTGTCCGCACCACTCGTAGCCAAACCGTGGAAAAAAGTCGGAAGTGCGGCTGCAAACGCGTGTGTCCCAGAAGGGACGAGAGCGTTACTAACAATGGCAAAACGATAATTTGAAGAAAACGTGCGAACCACGACACATCCGACAGCAGGGGAATTGTTAAAAATTCAACTGTGATCCACGAGTTAGGCATCGTTCTCCAGAATTGTACACGGAGAGACGTTTTTTGTCTATCCACTGATGGATGAGGGTCCCCCCCCCCCACCCTCATGCCATGTAGGTCATCAGGGTTATTCGACTATACTTCACCATGCTGGTCGGTAGTACAGGTTGGCGAAGGTGGCATTGGTGTGGGGGCACAGAAGTAAGAAGCACAACAATAGATTTTTACAAGGCAACCAACAAAGAAAACGATTATTCTGGGGTTTAAAAAAAAAAATGTGCGTGCGTGTGACATGCGCAGGACAACGGGGCTAGGTTTTTATTTACTTTTAGCAAACCTACAGCATTTGCGAAATCCGGGTCAGGAAAACTTTTTCAAAATCCAGGAAGCATCAACGGGCTGGGCCATCCAGGCGGAGCTAAGACCAGCCAGCCACAGGACAGGGCCACGGGGCAACACAGCTGATGAAATGCACCTTTGGAAAATGTATTATTTATGGCAGGGTCACCCCCACCCCTCCCATTTTGGATCCAGTTAACAGCCGTTTCCGTGGATACCATTAATCCAATCTCGTACAAATCCAAAGCGGCAACTCTCTCTTTCGCAAACACAACCGGACGGCGACGGTCGCGAGGATTTACGCAGAATGGGGAGCACGCTTTCATCCCGTTATAAAATTGTGAACGTGCACAGATGCACGACGCGCGTGCGGCTATCGTGCATGGCGAGCGTTTCTTGAGCTGTGTTTTGTCAAATTGCATTCGCGAAGATTCACGATGATGCTTTAACTCTGGTTGTCCCAACCACACCAAGGCTGTAAAACACCACTACACGTAAAAAAAATATACAGAAAACGTATTTCATTCGCTAGCTGACAACCATTGTTTAAATTTATATTCTGCTTCTGAGCCAAAAGTTCCATTATTGCACATGGTCAGCTGGCCAGATGTTCTGGCTCCGTGCGCTATTATTCTGTGCATCTTCTCTCGTGACATCCACTATCCTTACGCACAGGATCCGTAGACGTGCATTGGAGGACCATTGACTTGCAATAGAGTCTAATGCCGTCACATGGACTTGCATGAGAGAGACAGCCAGACTTGGAGATACCCAGAGACTTGTATATTTTTATAAGTCCCCGTTTCTGCATGGGGTCACCTGCTCAGATAATCTTTCTCCACGAGCTGCTTCTATTCTGACACTCGTCTCTCGTCACATTTGCCGTCCTCAAATCTTTTTCCACCACATCTCCTCCCATCTCACCAATCGGTCCCCCTCTACTCCAAGTGCCCCCTGCACCGATGGCATCTTCATTATGAAATGTGCAAAACGTACATCAACTCAAAAGTCAGACCTTTTTGCCGGATAAGCGTAGGTTTGGAATGCTTTTGGAAAACGCAGTCAGAGAGAGGAAATCAACATACTAATGCAAACTAAACAAAATAATCTGTATCAGCAAATAACACCGCGATGGCATATTAAAATCCGAAACATGAACACTGACAAAGAAAAATGTAACAAAGTTGAAACGCGGGAAAATAAGCACAAGGGAGGTGAATGTACGGGATTACACTCAGACAGGAAGTGGAATTGCATGGGTTAGAGAATCAGCAGAGGATAGATCGTGATTGACACGTAATGGGTTCCTGCTGCTGCTAGAATCCACTAAATTTACGACACAATGTTAAAAATGACCAATAATTCTTCCCAAATAGCGACAATAAAAAAAGGGACGGGACAGAACTTAAGACAGCACACAATATAAAAAAATAAGCAGACGGAATCTGCAGTGTGGACGAATGGTCTGTAGCATTCCCCTAAGTGTTTGCCCATATGGTTGAACACAACTTCCCAAGCAAAGCACTCATGATGATGATGGTGGGTGGCAGGGTAGGGGCGGCAGCATTGAGGCCATCTCACCTCCAGCCAAGGCTGTGGCACTTCCTGGTGACTACGGCCACCCACTGCAGGCAGTAGCAGCAGCTGGAGCAGCAGCTTCTGACCGAAGGCAGCAGCGGGAAGCGGAGGGGACAGGCAGGCGGTCGGGGAGAGACGCCCTGATCATCTGCCTCGCGCGCCCACCGAACCACCGTCTCTCCCGGGGCGGTGCGCCCCAGCCGTCAGCGATGGCCTGCGCTGGACGCAGTCACCATAGAAAATGCTCCGGTGCCCGTCTCGGAAACCGTGGAAAGAGGACGCTTCGGAAAATCCGCGGGGAATGCTGCTCTGGGGATCCTGCGGTGGGGTGGGGGGGGGCGTGGGAGCAAACGATCGCGGTGCATAAGAAACCCGTTCAGGCATAAATAGTGCCAAATAATCGCGGTATGGGCACAAAACGATGTTCTCGTTTGTCCAAAACGAAGGGAGAGTGTCGACGGTCGCCTCGTGAACAAAAATCAATCGCGGCAAAATGCAGCACCCGTGTTTAAGGCCGTGCCACGTCGTGGTGGAGAATCTCTGTGGGTGGCTGCAATCCACGAAGCATCCGTTGAGCCAACAGACATAATCGCGTGTATGTGTGTGTGAAAGACGCTACTGAGCAGCTGGAGGCAGCTGCCCACCAGCAACAACGCAGAGCGCGGGGTGGGGTGACACTCACAACGAGCAGAGCCAGGCGGCTAAAATGCAGCAAAAGCTGGCACAGTAGGGAGCACAGGTCGTGCCCCGCCAGTCATTTCAGTCGACAAACTTCCACACAACAGAGTCGTCCCCTGATCTACTGCCAGCAGCGGAGCCTTCCACGCTTCACGCGATGGCCTCAAATTGCACCTGGCCTGGCACAAGCGCCATGGGTGATGTCGCCATCACTTATTCGGCAAATGGTTGCCGTCAGTACTCCCAACCTGCAGAACCGAGGTGGCGGTTTGTAAGATTGCAGTTGCAGTAAGATGGGTTGCCAAATTAATACGGATTTTCTTTTTGAGAAAAAGTAATTAAAAAAAGGTAACAGAACAAACAGAGCACACGTGGATATCAAGTGCCACACATCCATTTTGAGTTTTATCCGACCGCCAGGGGAAACGGGGGAAGAGGCAAGGGGTTAGTTTGTGCCAACATGTGCTGGGGACTGTAGTGTAGCGGTTAGCGCTACGCTCACGGCCACAAACACCAGTGACAATTATCTAGAGCCGGTCCTGGGCCTCCCCTAGGTTCACTCAGCCTCAAATAAGTACCTGGTGCAGTGTGTAAACATTTCTACCTGGGGAGACAAAAGCAGTCGGGCGTGGTGTTAGGGGGGTGGGAGATATTTGTCTTTGGGGACTGTGTGGACAAAATGAGAAGTGCGCTGGAGTGTGGTGTGCGACCAATGAGAGAGGCATGGGGGGGGGGATTTCTGTGCGGATATTTGAGCCTCATCTTAATCGCGTGTGACTCGTCTCCCCCAGCCGCTTTGGTTACAAACACAAAAATACTCGTGAAGGTAGTGGCCAGACAGCTCACACGGGAGCCCTCCTGAAATAAAACATTCAAGACTCAGTTGAGATTTAAAAATGGGTAAATAACTGATTTTTTTATTGACGTGAATGGCACGTCTTTTTTCAGCCGTCTTTTATCGAGACCCGTCTTGCTTTTGGCAGGGTATTGATCACGCAGGGTTGGGGGGAGGAGGGGGGTACGGTGGTGCAGTGGTTAGCGGATGCACTGCGCTACGAACCCGACATCCAGGGTTCAATTCCTGGCTACAGCTGCCATCAGTGGCAAGTGATATCTGAAACAGTCCTGGTCCCAGCCCTCCCACACTCTTCCCCCCCATCACCCACACCTGGCCAACCCGTGAAGTGACCAGGGTGAAGAAGTATTTTTTTATTGGAGATTTCAATTAAGCGTTTCTTGAGAAATGGTGTTTTACCACTGGCACTATTTATGCCTAATCTTGCACTTTTTGATTCCTTAATTGGCTAAAACTTTTAAAAGATACATTTTACATTTGAAATAATATTATTTATTATCTTTTTTTAAATTCATTTGTATTAAAAAAAAATTCTGATGTGTTTGTTACGTCTGTCACGGAAACAGTCTGTTGTTTTTATAGATGACACCTGACTTAAGAGCATCTTAGCTCACAGTGTACTTCAAAATAAACTGAACCGAAACTGAAGTGGTCACGCATGACCGACATTCTGTGAAGAGAGCGTCATCCAGCAGTGGATCGACAAATAACTGCCCGGAGCACTTATTTATCACATGGAGTATTCTCGCTAACTTGCCAGTCACTTTGTTCGAGCGTGCAACAAACAAACTGCTCTACACCTGGTTCACACCGACGACGATGCTGAAAAACCATCGCCTTTGTCCCCGGACATTTGTTTTATCGCTTGAGCTCAGCCAACGACCACTAACACACACAAGGGGGGGAGCGTGGGGGGGCGTGGGTGGGGGTGGGTGGTCGGGCAAAAATCCAAAGAGTTATTGTACAACAAACAAATAAATAAACGGTCGCGTATGGCCCCGTGTCGTCCGGCAAAGTAATCGGACCCCCCCCCACCCCCGCGCCGAGCAACGCTGGCCTGCACGTCGGGCGATAGGGGCGCACGACGAGTCCCGCTCGGAATTCTGGGACAGGAGACTTGGCAAAACTGTGACGCGGACTCGGAATGCCCACTGGGAGGGAGGGGGGTGGGGGGGGACACGGAAGAGTTCTGCACGACACGATCCTGGCTGGCGCGCTTGGCCGTTGTTTCGGGGCTCGTCCACCTGCGTGCGGCAGATTGTTACGAGGGGCAGGGGGAGAGGGGGGGGGGAACACATTCGCAGGTGCCACGTGGGAGGATGCCGGGCCTGCTCCACCAAGCGCGCATTCAAGACTCCGACCAACTCAAATATTCAACGTTGGGTAAATAAAATAAAATAAAAAGATTAATTTAAAGGTTGCGTTGCCAGCGCTGCACAAAGGACAAATTGAAAAGAAAAAAAAAAGTTTCACTGCATTTGTCATTTACAATGCCCTGCTGCAACAGGAAAACTATACATCAGCCCTGGTGTTTAAAGCGATAGAGGTTTGATTTGTGACTACAAATGATCCCGTTGAGCCCGTTTCCCGGCTATTTTTACAGGGGAGATCCCCGTGGTGCGTGAGCAACAACAACAACAAAAGGAAAGACAGAAAAAAACCGTGAATATTTGCAGAGAACGAGTACGGACCTCAAGGAACATTGCACAACTAACGAACGTCGTATTTGCTTCAGAGCAGAGGAAAGGCAACACTGCCTTTTGCTCCAAGCGTCAGCCGCGGATATATCCATCCATCATTCTCCCATGACTGGGCTAGCAACGGCGAGGTCATTGGGAGCCCCGTGGTGGCAGCTCTGGCTGTCATCTCCCTCTCAATATTGCCTCTGGGTCTTTCAACCTGGACGACCCGCTGGTTGTGGTTTAAGTCCGTCCCAGTCTGCGATGTTCCCAATCCAAAACAAGTCTTTTGTTCGGGTGCCCTGCTTTTCTGGCGAACAACATCCTTCTGGTTGTAATTCAGTTCCCAAGTTCGTTTTGTTGCAACCAGCTGAGAACTCAAGAAGCCAGCGTAGTGTCATTTGCCTGATTCACCTGGGTCACCAAAACACGCCAAAACAAAACAAATTATTATAAAGTACAGCGACGAAGCAAATAGAAACCAACAACAAAAACAACTGTCACGCAGTTGCTGCATCAGTGATAGAAACGAATGTGGTGATTACTTTTTTATACCATTGGTACAGAATTACCGCATTGCACAGATCACCTTCAATAGAGTCAGAGTCCTGCCCAGAATCAAGATCAACATTTGGATCCTTTCATGGCCAAAGCCGCTGATGCCACCACGCTTCTGCAACGCTTTCTACCCCTCTGGTAGATCCCACGGCTGTCACATAGCGGACACGCGACCTCCAATAATTTCCCTCAAAGTAAGTACCCCCCTCCCCCTACCGTCTGGTCTCGGATCTTCCCCTTGGTTCGCCAGAACATCTTGGGCGACGCTAAATGATACATCGGCGAGTCAAAGATCCCAGGGAAGTTTTGAACTCCGCGGGAATAACTGCAGGACTGCCTCCCCAAACAAGGCCACAGATGGACGGGGCCTCCAACTGCTGACGCTGGGTAACTTGAGTTTAAAATGCTCCCCGAAAGAATAACACAACTTGCGCTGCGCGGTTATCCCAAGACAAACGATGCGCAAAAATATGATCCCGCTTTCCTTCCCCCCCCACCCCCCGCCCCATCATTTCCTTTAAATGAGAAAATTGTGCTCATGATGTAATGCGACACATACGCAATTAGCTAGAACGCGCACATTTTTAAACAACACAACTTCTATCCGAGGGACGTTCTCAGCTGCGAAAACATGACCGTGCGCGTGTGTGCGGCAGGCAGATGTCAGGCCTGAAGACGGGAAAAAGAAAAAAAAAGGCGAGAGGCAGATACAATTTTCCCCGACACTCGACGGGGAGAGAGTAAAGCTGCCACCACAGCGGGCCCCCCCCCCCTCCGCGCCCCTTTTAAAAAAAAAGGCCCATCTTGACTTTTCTCTCCAATTACTGAGCTAGGTGGGTAGTGCACACACAATCAGCACGCTCCACAATTTTCATTACTGCAGGGAGAAGGCGTGCAAGATCGCAGCAAATAGAAAAATCAGAGCATTTAATAACCAATCGCCTTTTTTCCCAAACCCCCCCCCCCCCTTCCACCCCCCCCCCCTCCTCCTGCTTCGACGTCCTCTCCGGGCCATTATTGAGATTAGCGGGAGGCAAATGCGATGCGAGCGGTAATTATTCAGGAGACGCGGGACGCGCGGCTTGCGCCGATCGTTTGGGGACAGATCCCGCTCGCCGGGGACGCTGCCGGTTAACCCGGCAAAAAGCCTCATCATCCCGGAAGCCAAGCAGGGCCGGGCCTGGTCAGCGCACACACGCGCGCGCGCGCGCACACGTATCGTTGTCCCGTGCAGCTTCCGAGGGTGCATCGAGTCTTCGTACCTGTAAAACTAAAAACTTAACTTTTTTTGTTTTACCAGGCAAGGCCCACTGAGCTGTATAGCTATTTTTCAGAAGCCACCTGGCCACAAAATGAGACCTCAACTTAGTGGCTCATCACGTGGAAATTTATAGCAGCCAAATACTCTAAACGCGTGATGTTGATTCTAAATGTGGAGGGAAAAACCGGAGGACCCGGAGAAAAAAAATCCATGCTACCACGGGGAGAACATGCAAAACTCCAAATATACAGGCGTCAGAGTCGAAATCAAACCCACGACCTCCTGT